ATGATTTGTTTCTGCCGATCTCTCCGCGGCCGAATCTTAGGAGGTTGCTGTCCAACGACAGAGATCCTTTATCCACCAATGAAAAATCGGGGGTGTATTCAGTTCCATTAGAGAATGATATAGGCGGTCGCACCCATTATATTGGTGCGACAACCAGAATGTTAGCTAACCGCATTTCAGAGCATCAATGTTCCATCAGAGAAGGCAGGAATGACACAGAACTCGCCAGAATGGTACTACAACACAAACATACCCCTCTGTGGAATGACGTGGTAATATTAAAACATTGCAACCACAAAAATCTTGTATATATCTGGGAAGCCCTTATCACCAACGTATTAAAGCCTTGCAACACCCCCACACTGGATTTGCCCCCTTTGTGGATCAGTTTGTACAGTTATATAAAGTATCGCAACTAAATCCACAATATATAGGCGTATAACGCATGCGCAACATAAACGCGCATGTTTTTTATTTAAATATCTGTTTATATTCTACCGCGCATATTTTTATTTAAATATCTGTTTATATTCTACCGCGCATATTTTTATTTAAATATCTGTTTATATTCTACCGTTGCTATCATTCCAAATTTGCTATTTAAGATTGGAATGTTTTTAAAAATTTTGTATTCAAAAAAGGTTCTAATGACCTGAAGAAGACGAAAGTGTATATCGTCGAAAGCGCTCGTCAATTTAGTGACATAGGTGTCTAATTTAACGCTTATATGTTAAAAGTTTTTGTAATAAACGATTAGCGTGCTGTCCATTATCAAATTTATATTTTTGTTTATATATTGTATTTTTGTAAATTCTAAGGTCTAGTACTAACATTAAATTGTACAATATAGTCTGAAATGTTATAAATTTTCATTCTATACAAATGTGACTATTTGTTTTGTAAGTTTGTCCTGAAAAAGGTGGGTTAAATAAGGCCAAAAAGGTTAGAAATTAAAGTGATTAATGCAATTTTTAACATATTTTTGGAGTGTTTTAATATTTATTTCATGTTTAAGTGCAATGTTTACTTTTTAAAGGTTTGTAACAATTTTGCCAATTAATGAATGTATAAAACTTTTTGTTGTTGTTTTTTAATTTAAATCCTACATTACTTTTGTGATGCCCTATAGCATTAATACAGCCGAATATAATATGGAAATTATTTGGCATTATCTTAAAAGATCAAGTTAAACAATGTTTATATATTTGTATTTTAAACTTGCTGTTATTATTATAACAGTTAATCATTAAAATTAATGATATTTGAATATTAAAGGTAAATTTTTCATCTTATATTTTAAATATTTTTTTTCACTTGCCATAAATTTGATATGTAATGTTACATTTTGTGTGAAAATGTGAAATTATAGTTAATTTGATTTTATTCAAAACACCTCTTTCAGCCTACAAAATAATTGTCTTATTTGTCAAACACAAAAAATGGTTTAATAATAACTGTTTTTATATACAATATGTATATTTTTTTCTACAGTATTTAGCTTCAGAAATTTTAAGTATTCAAATTCTAAAAAGTATTGTAATTACTAATAAATAGAACTCTTAATTTAATATAGATTTTAGTTTCTTCATGCAATTAATAATTGGAATAAGGAATGAATTAGTTTGATATATAAATAACAATCAACTGAATACATTAGAATTTCCTATCAGATCTGCTGGATGTTTATTGGGCTAAATTATGGCTACTTTAATTATCAGAAACAAAACAGTTTGATCTAGAATTAGATGGTTAAGACACCCTCTCTTAATAAATTTAATTTTTCATTTAAATTTAGAACACTCTTGAAGAAAAGATTGGCTTGCAATGAGACTCAAATTAATTTAGATACAACCTTACTTGTTAAAATGATGATGCTGACTGGGGACATCTTTAGAATCTGTGGCTCTCAATGAACATTTCACCCCAGGCATTGTTTATGTATGACAATCAACCCAATACATTAAGGATTTCCAAACAATCTGATTAATTTTTATTGGCTTAACTGCCTACTTCTAAGCAAAATTGTTTTGTTTTTGGTCATTAATGTAGCCATAATTTAGCCCAATAAAAATCAGGCAGATTATTTGAATTAGTTTGATACATTATTTTTTAGCTAAAAATATGAATTATTGCAAATTTTTTATAAAAATAGTTTTACATTAACAATAATAATAATTTTTAAAAATCTTAATTATTTTATTATCTATTTATTTTTTTAGAATCCACTGTTGCAACAGTTGCTTCATACAGTAATGCTCAACAATTTACCTACACAATTCCATCTCAACATGCACCTTTGTCCATATCTCCACATGCAGACCTTACAGTGCCACCAAGAAATATTAATGCAGAAACTGGTGTGCCTGTGCCAATTGCTTCCTGCGTACCTCCTTATACAGGCCATCCCCCGTGTGTCATATCTAGCACAGTGCCATATCCCTATCCCTATCAGGTTGAAGTTCCCATAACACCTTGCACTGTAACATTATCTACAAGACCTGATATAGTGACTATCCAGCAAATGCAGCCGCATGTTACTTATGCTAGTCAGATATCTTCTGATCAAGGTAATGCAGTCAAACCAATTATCCAAAGGTCTGAAGAAATCTCATTAACAAGTAATAAGATATCTAATTCTATAACAAACAATATTACAAGTGAAATAAGGACCAATATAAATGCTCCACAGAAAGATGGAGTTTTACCAGCAGAATCAGTGTCAAGGGTTGCAACAAATAGTGATTCACAGCAACTGACACAAGCAGTCCCGTCTTCAGTGCCTTTTATGTGTGGTGATACAGTCCCCATGCCGGGTCCAGGGCCCAATTTTCCCAGAATGCCTTCTTTTCCATACCAACCTGCATCCCCTCAGGTTGCATTCTATGCACCAATTTATAACTTGCCCTATCATGGATGTATAGCTCCATCGACATCAACTGTTCCAAATACAACAACAATGGCAACTGTAACAAATAATGAATGGGTAAATAATACACCTAATGTACTTCCTGTTTTTGCTGTTCCCAATATTACATCATCAGGAGTAAATAATAATTGGGTTAATAATGAGCATAATTCACTTCCTGAGGCTGGTTGCAACAATGATCATATTAATTTTCTTCCTGTACCTGCTCATTTTGAACAAATAAATAATCCTTGCGATATTTCCAAAAATAATGAAGAAAAAATAGATAATACAGAAGAATCAAAATCTATTGATTTAATTTGTGAAAAGAAAAATATGCAATCTCATTCTATTTTATCCAATGGAGAAAATATACCCAATGAACTGGAAACAACAGAAAAAAAGAATACAGATGAAAAGAATGAAGTCAATTGTAGTGCAGATGACAGTACTTCTGATGAACATACCATAAAAACTGATACAAAACCTTTGTTAGATAATAATACTAATAATAATTCTCCAGTAGAAAAACCTAAATTTATGTGGAGTGATTTGTTTAAGAAGGAAAAGTCTAATCAGGGAAATTCAAGACAAGTAATTTTATCACCCATAACATCAGAGATAATTAAAGAAAATACAAGTCCTATAACTAAAATTTCAGAAGTGTCTTGTGCAGCAAGTTTAAATGAAGATGAAATGGTTGGAGTATTAGGAAGTAAGTATAAAATCAAAATAAATTATTTTAATTTTTGGTTTTGAGTGAATATTTATAGTATATATTTGTCAAATTCAATTAAATTTGTTTTTCCTTTAAGAATTATTACAGGAAGTAAAACTTGATCACACAGCTCCTTCATTGAAACCTAGAGGTCTTGTTAATAGAAGAAACTGGTGTTACATTAATGCTGTATCCTTAAATTATTTTCATATAATTTTAAACGTAACAAATTTGATAATATAGTGGAACTTCTATATTTGTCATTAATCTGTTCCTAAGGACCTAACAAATATGGAATATGATGAATATAGAAACAATTTTTCTCATAATAAATAATTGATATTCAATTAATTTGTTCCCATCCTGAAAAAAAAGGTACAAGAATAAAAATTATGTTGTTTGTAAAACTGTATTGTACTAAATACAGTATAGTGGTAGAAGGGGAAGAACAGTATTATTAATATAGTATTATTGTTTAGAAGAAGACATAGCAATTAAAACATTAGGCAATTCCAGTTATGATCATGGGGTCTGTTTTGCCGACCCCATGATCATAACTCAGTAATTTAGTAAGTTAATTCAGTAGCACTTGATTTAATAAAGAACTTGTCCAGTGTTGTGTGTTTTTGTCTGCTTTTTAAAACTTTTCTGAAGTGGGCAATTACATTATCATTGAATGTATTTGTATTTTGGTTGGCTATATCAACATTTGGGTTCTGCTTTGGAGCAATTGGAACTTTGTTTCTCGCATTGATTATTTTGCAATAACTCAACAACACACATGATGACTGCACAAAGCTAACTGATTAACTACAGCTAACTAACATGGCTAGCTGATCAGCGTGAGCATTCAATTGTAGTGCCATTTCCGGTGTTGGGAATGACAGCGAATACAGAAAAATGTCGAATATGGAAAAATAAAAAAGTCATCAAAATGTGACGAATATTGAATATTACAAATATAGCAGTTCCACTGTATATTGTTAATTTTCTAATCTATACATTTAGGCAATAAAATTAAGCAGCTCTCAATATTTTAAAAATTCCTTAATTTTTCTTCAGACATTACAAGCACTTTTAGCATGTCCTCCTTTTTATAATTTGCTAAAATCTTTTCCTGCAAATATGGATAAAGAAAAAAGAAAATCTTGCACCCCAATCATGGACAGTTTGTAGGTTACAGTATATATATATATATTTTACATTATATTATATTTTGATTTTTTTTCCCTATAACTTAAGACAATTTGCAATGAACTACATTATATTTCATCTAAGTATTCAGGGTAATCAGAATAAATAATAGTCTGAAAACATATTTCTTTTAAATTAAAAGAATTTTTTAAAAATAGTATTTGAAAGTTGTTGTGATAAAAATAGAATAAAATTTTTAATGTCATTGTTGCAGAAGTTACCAATTTAGAGATAACTTATAAAGAAATAAAATTACATAACTTCATTGCTGAGAAAATGAAGATAATGCAGAATATATGAAATAAACAGTAAAATAAAGCTAATATAAGAAGAAATTATTCATTAATTGCAATATGTGTGTCTACAAAGTTCATTATCTAGCAATTTTATAATAGATGTAAATATATATATAATATATAATAAACATCCCAAAGTCTGATGTATTAATACTAATCCAACTGATTGCTTTAATTAACTGGGTTATTTTTTCTACTATTAATAATTAAATAATTTTTAGAACAGTTTGGAAGGAAAGAATTGGCCCAGAGCGGGATTTGAACCTGCAGCTTCCTGGTTGTGGGTTTGCATCCTGCTCTGAGTTGATTCTTTTCTTTCAGGCTGTTCTAAACATTATTTAATAAATATTAAATTGTTATAATTATTAATAGTAGCAAAAAATAGCCTGATTACAGTGATCATTTGGATTAGTATTATAATAGATGTACAATGTAACAAATACATGAAAGATTTGTACTTTTAAATAGTCTATGATCATGATAGCAAAATACATTTTCTACATTTACATCATCACTAATTTAATTATCCATTTAAATAATTAATTCAAGAAAGAATATTATTTTTGTTGAATTTGTTATTTGGTAGATTTTGCAATGTAATGGGAAACACATAATTCAAAAGCATGGCAAGTACTTATTTCAAGATATAGTATTTGCAGTTTGCAGAATTATTCATAATTTGAAAGCTATATGAAAAAGTAGTTTAAATGAACTTTGTAAATAATTTTTAAATATTAATGCTAGACATAATTATGATGACAATACTATATGCTTGTTAAAATATTTTTAGATAAAATAAAAATTTCTCAAGATATTTATTTGGTCATCAAGCATTTTATATCAAGTTTATAAATTAAAAATTTATAATCTTCATTATAATCTTGGTTATTGCTTATTTATTTATATTCATTTGTACAAAAGTTAGTAATGTCAATACAGACATGCAATGCTCCCTAAAAGCCATTCAGCCTACAATAAAAACAACAAGAACAATAATGTTGAAAGAAGTAAAGTAGAATACATTAAAAACCAATTTGTAAAATAATACAGAAGTTTCAAGAAACTGGGTGCATAAAAATATTTACAATAATTGAATTTTAAATATATTAAGGGTTATAAATAAGCTTTTTATATGGACTTAAAACAATCTCAAAAAATTATTTTCAACTGATGAGATAGTGTGTATAGATTTTTATTTTTATTTTTTTAATGCTTGATTAAATAAAGCAACAAGTTAGGAAGAATAATACATCATGGTTTTCCATATCTGACAACTCAATTAATTTTTTTTCCCTACATCAGTGTAGGAATTGTGACAATCACATGAAATTGACTAACTACATTCATTCAATATTTAGCAACTTTTAACTATTGCTTACAAATGTAAGTTTTCAAGTGTGTACAGAATTGTATTGGCACAATTTATTTTTTGGTACTTGAAGTGCCAATAAATAAAAAAGAGGAAACATGAATTGTGCTACAGAAAATACAGTATAGTGAAAAATATCAGATTTCATATATAATCGTGAAGAACTATCATCAAAGTGACCTCGTTCTTACAACTTGAAGTATATAAACAAAAGATAATTAATTAACACTGACAATATACAATTCTGCTTGCAATGAACTTCATTCACCATTTAAACATTCAGAAATTTATATAAACTTAAAAACTCTTGCATACATATTAAACCAAGTGTTATAAATCATTCATTTGGAATTAGCACAAGGTTGCTGTTGAGAACAAATCACACAGGAACTCTTTAAATGGAAAAAGTAGGTCTATTTTCTATAATTTAAAAGGATATGCATTTTCGGCTTAATGCCTCTCTTTAGTCCTAATATTATATTGACAGCTGGAATAACTAAATTATTAAAATCGTGGGTAAATACTGTAGAAATAATATTATTTTTGTTAAATCATATAAAATCATGGGCTAGTGTAAATAAAACTGTAAAAATAAATATAAGTTTGTTAAAATATGTAAAAAGTTTTTTGATTAAAAAAGTAGTAAAACAAAAAACCTTAAAACCAATAAAAATTGGCTTTAAAATATATATGTATGTTCGTGACATTTTATGTTTTTTAAAAAAAATGAAGTAATTCTCTTTAGTGCCAATTTCAGAGGCAAATAAATAATGACACTAAACTAAAGATTTGATAATAAGTGTAAAATCACAAAACTGTATTTACATATTTAGACAAAATTGTTTACATATAGATAAACTTTTTTCATTTTTGTTTGCCATTTTTCCTATTTATTAATATCAATTGTCATCATTGTAATTGGTTGAAATTTTGGTAAATTAGTAAATACTGCTTTAATTTTCATTCTGATTTATTTATTGTCCAACAGAGATTTTGCTTTTTTGTACAGATAATTCTTGATGTGTTGTTAGCTTCATAAATTTTTATCTTAAATTTATTGAATTATGACAGTGTTACTGAGTGAAAAGTTTAAATTTATTTCTAGAGTAAAATTTGTTCATGAATTTCCACATATGCAAATTGTCACTTCAACAAGCAAAGATGATTTTCCTGTTGGATCAGCATTTGAACCTATATACATATATAAAATGTTGAGTGTCATCAAATCTGTCTGTGTAAAGGTAAGATTTCATATATATTAACTTTATTTTATTTACTTTTTTAAATAGTTTATATTTACTGAGCATTTTCAAGAATTAGTCTTCTATTCAAATTCTTACATTAAGAGTAAGAATAAGAAAAACATGGTTTGTATATTCCAAAAAAAATATAGATATTATAGCATAATTGATAATATAACTTACAATAAATTAACAAAAAACATTAAAAATTAACAGTTTAAATGTTTTTATTTTAACTGTTCTGTTTTTTATTCTAAATATTAATGAAATTTTGGATTGAATGTTAAAAGGGGAGGCAGAGACATAACTGGCCAGACCTGGCACTTTGAGGCTTACTTAGGCCCTTGTGCTACAAAACCCCAAATCCAATAACCTAAAAAGGGAGGCTGAACTACATGACTGCAATATCTCTAGAACCTTTTGTATTACAGAATTTTCAAGCAAACCTTTCTTTTTAATAGGTACAACAAAGTTTCTTAATTGGCATGCATAATAACACAGATCTGAGAAATCTAAATTCAGTTTGTCTTTTTGATATTTTTACTTTTATAAATTTGCTTCACTTTAGATCTTTAGCTATATGTATAAGATAATTTATTTTTTTCATATATTTCTGATTCTTCTTTATCTATTCTGTCTTTATCATTTCAAATATTTGCATCTTTCTTTAGAATAGGAATATTAGATTTTATTTTATAAGAGTAAAACAAGATGAGAATGTGAAAAGGAAAACAAATTTCATTTGTCAAATAATAATAATAATAATGATAGAATACAACTTTGTAAGTTTTAGTACATACTAGAAATTAATATTATTCATTTGTACTTTTTGTGCAGTATTTTGGTAAATTTGAGTATCACTTATGATGATGAATCTTTCGTGTAATAGACTATCTTAATGTAATTTTAATTTCCAGGAGTAAGATTTTTTTAGTTACTAAATATGTTGAGCATTTTTATTCTATTTGAAGAAATGGCATTTTAATCAGTATTTACTATTGATTTATCAGTTGGAATGAATATTTAATTTGATATTAGACTAAAATAGATGAATAATAGCATTAATGTACTGAAATAGCAGTGCCTAAAACACTTAACATTTATTGAAGATTAACATATGTGAGTAATAAGTAATATTTTAGATTAGTTTTATTTCTGATGCATTCAGAATCTTTAAGATTATATAGATGTAATAAACATTGACAAATTTTTGGTTGTTATAAATGAATGTGTTTTAATAGTAGATTATTATTAGAAAACTATTAATAAATAATAAATTTAACAAGTAAAACGGCAAAGCTATATTTGGGACATCACTTTGACACTCAAGATGGGTCTCATTCTCATTCTCCAATCTTCTTTGGTATCGCTGGTTTTGAGTGCAATCTTTCAAACTTTGCTGGCCATGACCACGAGGTCAGCCATGATGCATTTTCAGTGAAATTAACCTATCCCAATTTCGAAATTTCTCAACATTGCATGTCGCCCTGGGTTGAATTTTTGTCAATGCCTAACGAAAATGAAATTTCCAGTTTTTGAAAAATAATAATCCTGGTTATCATATCGTCTGAAATTTTATTTTGGAAGTTAGTTTTAATATAAAATTATAATGACTAGCACCATCTAGTTTGAAAAAAGGTTCTTATGCTGAAATGAGATATCTCGGGTCAACCGGTCAAGGTCAGTACGTTGCGACAGAGATATGTTGGGAATAACACTGGACAGGTAAATGTTTTTTTTTTTTCAAAGATTCGTTTATCAAAATTTGATTTTGCAACGTTCGCATTTCCAATTTTTCAACAGCAACACATGCAAATCTTGCACTACTGCCTGTTTGTAGAAACTGTCACCATTTTGAATTTTATTTTGACTCTGTTCTCGGTCCCCTGAGTACCTACAAGTCTGTGTTTTTTTATGCATGCATGATTTGGACATCTAATACTCTGTGCCAAATTGCAACTCCTGACATGTACCTCTAAGCCTTCATACCTCTGAGCTGGTTACCCAGCAGGCAGTATGATTTTATAAACAAGACATAGTCTTGTCAATAATAATATATTTTCAAGTTATTATTTCAGACTTTGAGATATAGTTAAATGTAGTATAATTTCATGTTTTATTTATGAAAAGAATGACTTCTGTTTGAAGCTATATTTAGATTGATAACTTTTTCTCACTTTGCAAGAACTTATTTTAGTCAAGAAAAAATTTCTGGTATAGTTGACAATGTATGTAAAAATTGTATGGGGTTTAACTTAAAAGATTTTTTTTTCCTTTTCTTTGGTATTATTCAGTTATTAAATATTTTGTTATTACTTGTGCTTTTTGCATTATAAACTGCTACTATAATTTCTGTTACATATGAATATATTTATTTCACTAGGGTCAGCAGGAAGATGCTGAAGAATTTTTGAGTTGCATATTAAATGGATTACATGAAGAAATGTTGTCTGTAATGAAAAGTTTGCAAAACCATAATACTCATGCCTGTAAGTTAATTTTATAAAAAAATGAACATAAAGTTTTGGTAATTAATATGTTAGTTTTATAATTTTGAAATATTTATAATTATATTTAATTATTAACTATTTATAAATAAATGCTAAAATAATTTGCATTTAAAGTTATTAACTTTTAACTGAAGGAACTATACTCTTATATCTTAACTAACACCATTACCAACAAAAATATATTCTAATTTATTGGGAAAAAGATCTTATGATTATTTAAGTATTTTATTTATGTGGTCATAAATGAATTTTATGATTGACAAGTTGATGACTAATATCTAAAATATATTATTAAATNACTGCACTGGTTCAGAGCTCTGTAGAAAGAACTATATGTAAAATCTCAACCAAATCTGGTGTCCTCAATATATGATTTCAATTTTCAGGAAAAATTTTACTTTAAAATTCAGCTCTCGGGCAAACTTTGGTGCTGATTTTTCTTTAAAGTTTATATTACATACATTTTCTAATGAATTTTGGGTGCTAAACTTGTAAACTTTTTGTTAAATTCAAGTTAAAATGCTTTTATATATGCAATCCTGGAAAAAAGTTTGAGACCACCTGAGTTTTCAAACTTCTCATTAATATTTATTGATCTGTAAATACGTTGTTGTTTAGGTATTAAGGCAAAGTTTGTATGCCTCCTCTATAGATACGATCTTTCAGATATCCCACAACCATATGGACTCTGTCTGAATTGAAAGCAAGCATAACATGCCATATTGCTGCAATTTTTCAAGAAACCTGTCTGGCTACTGTTGAACATACTGTAAGGCTCTATGAACATGTGATTGACACAAATGGATTGCACATTGAACAAATGTTGTGAATAAAAACCTTTTGCATGTTTCCATTTTGTGTTTTTTGTTCTTTATGCACACTTTTGTTTTTTTACCTAGTGGTAGAAATTTGAACTAATTGGTTTTTTCCCCATGGTCCATATAATGTATATATCAAGTTTCCTCAAATACGTCAATGAGAATGGACTCTATGCGGGTCTGAGTAGGGCAACTTTAATTATAACCACCCTGTATAATAACATTGGGTTATAGTAGTTTCTCAAATTTAAAGAAAACATGTCAGACAAAGACCTTGTTTTTTTTCCTTTTAATTGTGATAGTAAAGCATAGCTTTACTATCACAGTGCTGCACAGAATTGCCAGTATGTACAGATAATCAGATGGTGAGTGCTTCCAGTTTGTAAATGTCTAAGTATCTGTCTAAAAATTTTCCCTATGTAAGACTGAGTTGCTTGATCATGCCTGTCTAAAAATGACTCATGCTGAAGTCTAAAATTGATGTGTGCTCTTTCTGGTGCCACTCTTGACCATGTTAGAAAAAAGAGTGTTACAAGGCTCAAGTTATAAATCACTGATGAGAAAATTATTTCAAAAAAGTATTCCTAATCTTGTCACATTAATTAATCAATAATCAGTTTGAGACATACAAAACCATCACAACTGAAAGTTGTTGTGTATGTTGAATTACATCATGAACATTGTTGAGCGTTTTATTTAATTATCAATGATAGTGTAGATCAATTAAAACATTAATTATATAATTATAACCCTTCAAAAGTGAAAAATGGAGAATCATTATAAAATTCAGTAGGAAGGATAATTGATGAAAATAATTTATCATGTTGATCCATAAAATAAAGTATGATGTCTGTTCAATTTTTACCTATCAGTAGGGATACAGAATATTTTCAGGAACCAAACTTTCTTTGCAGTAAGCAGGTTTTAGAATTTTTGACTGATTTTTCATTGGTGTTTTCTTTTTGAAAATGCAGTCATATTTTTTTTATTTTATGATTTTAAAACAGTATTGAAATATATCTATGAAAAATAAAGAAAAATATGTTATATAAAAATTTTATCATCACTTTATAAACTATTTGAGACAGTATGGGAAAAGTTTAAATGCAGTTCATTAATTTGAAAATTTTTATTGCAGGAAATGATGAATATTTCATTTTAATTTGAGCTGGCACAAAATTTTACTTGTTAAATAGTGTCAAAAGAGTTTCAAAATAAAAATGGATTTTCTTTGTCTGCTCTTTTAAAGCTCTATTTTTGTTTGTTTTTCATAAAAATATAAATGGTGATTCAGTTTACTCTTGCATTTGTATATTCCAACAAAGATATATTATCTGCAAATATAATACATTTAATTAATTACTTAGTTAATTTATTATTGAAAGTAAGTTTCTTTACATTGTAATTAAATTACTATTTATAAATAATAATCTGAAAGAAAATAATCAGTCTGGAGCATGACTTGAACCTGCCACTCTCACTTACCATGCAGATGTGCTTTTCTTCCAGAATATTTTTAATTATTTATATTTATAATTATTAAATTTAATAAGAGATTGTGCATAATGACTATCTCTAGTGATAAAGTTTTTTACATTGTTTGTATTCATTTATTTCCTCCAATCAAAGAAGTGTAAGGTTTTACTGTGCTTCAATCAGAATTGTACTCATTCATGTGAGGCATTTCTTTGTGTGTATTCATTACTTTGATTATGTATTCATTACATCAATTCATTACTTTGTGGGTTGTGTTTGATTAATATTTATTTGTAGTTCATGGTACAGATCATTATTATTTAGTGAAGTTATAAAGATAAATGCAAAAGTATTTGATACCATGATATAATTTTTAATTGATGAAACTAAATATGAATTATAAAAACATGAATCTAAAACTACTTTGCTGGAATTGAAGAGATCATGTATTAATACCCAAAAATACAATCATGAATACAAGGTGAATGGCCATGTCTTACAGAATAGAGTAAATATGTGTGTCATGAATTTTGTACTATTTATTCACATGATTTCTCAGTATCTTGCAGGTACAAGGACAATTGTCCACAACATACAGCTTCAAAAATTCATTCATACTATAGTAAGGTAAAATTAGCAACTAAATTTCTTTGAAGTTTAATTAAGATTATTTACAAAAAAAATGAATTTTGTGAATACTCGAAACTACCACTTGTAAATAGTTTTAATTAAACTTCAAATGAAAATATCCTGGGTTATCATCATGTATGATTTTATGTAAATTTCATTGATCAATTCTTATATCTACTATTTTTTACAGAAAAGTTCAAAGAGGCAAACAGCTTAAATTAGGCACTTTTTGGTGGAAGGCCTCACAAAATTTTGAAATTTATATCTATGCAGTGGCATGGCCTTGGTTAATAGTGGAAACAATATTATATATATAATATAATATATATATATTAATATACCTCGAATGCTCAAAAGGTACTTGTTTTTTAGTGTGTTTGGTTATACCAGCATATATATAGCTACTACCTACTATCCATGGCATCCAAGGAGAGTGAGAAAGCCCGCAATGTCTTATAGGAAGGATGTAACAGATGATTAAAGTGGAATAAAAACATATCGAAGAACATGAAAACAATACACATCTGAAAAATCACTGGCAATGTTAATTAATGATGTCCGTGTCTTCTGCATATACCATTCTTCAGAACAAGAAAGCAATAAAAGCAACAAACTCAGATAATGTTGTGGCAAATGTCACTTTTAAGAGATCGCGTGTTATGGAAAATATGGAATAATTCCTCCTTGTGTGGATAAATGAGAAACAATTGGCAGGTGATATTATCTCTGATAAGATTATTTGTTTAAGCCAGGGAGCTTCACACTGATCTTAAAAATCGAGAAATCACTACTCCCTACTAAGACACAGCAAATTCAATTTTCATTTCATTATACAGCATTTATATATTAATCTCTTGTTTAAATTTATGATCTAAAACGTTTAATTTTGTTACTTTTATTTTAAATTATGCGTATTTGTCGTTTACATCTATCGCAATAGATACTACTTAGTGTCTGGAGATGAATTAATTGATTTTTTGTTATTTCTAATGGAGAATGTTGATTCGAAGTTCGAAGAATTCAGAGTTGGTCAGCCTTATGGAACGAATTACATTTAATGTAAGAGATACTATTGTGAAAAAACACGTAAAATTTTTAAATAAGATTCAACTATCTAATTCTATAACGACACAATTTCGTTTATAGTAAAGATTTTTAAATTCGAGTCACAGTGTCGTTTACACAATTAAAGTATATTTATAGACGAACTACTTATTAAAACATGACATTTTGTTATTTTTAGTAACAGTTTTACATTCCTAAGTCATATTACAAATGGGTTGTATTTATTTAAATAACTGTGAAAATCTAGGAGCCAATAATTTATTTATAACCTATTTATAACTTGACAAACAGGAAACCATTTTTTTTCTNCTGCTTTTTGCTTTCTTTCCTTCACTTCCACCAGCACTTTCACTGGATAGAGGTCGCTTGGTAAAATATCTATCCAAAGAGGTTTGGCTTTGCCTACTTTTTAAAATGTTTCTAAAATGACTTAGGCAAATGTCATTACTCCGAGCAGCAATACAGCCAGTGTGAACCTTTTCAGGATGTTTCTTTTCAAGAAAATCAGTCACGTTCTGATAATACCTCAAGATTTCGTTTATTGAGCGAGATCTTTCCACGACGAAGCAAACATGCGGACTGAGACCAATGAACAGAAGTGAATAAAAAATGGTGCTGCGAACTAATGTAACGTTATATGGTGGGTTTTTGTTCATATCCTGGAGCAAAAATATGTTTGAATTTCATGTCATATCCTGAAAATTTCATATGCTGAGGCATTCGTATTCTGAGGTACCACTGTATATAGGATAGTCACCTTGGTTAATTTTGAAATATATTTAAATTTTGGTGTTTTTTAATAGTGTGTTTTAACAAAAAAATAAATTGTAAGATTTTAGAAAATTTGTTTTTATTATTTTAAAATAAAATTGTATTTTTGAATAGCATGCTTTATTGAATCTATGAAAATATGAAAACATTTCAAATTTTAAGATTTTAGATATAAATTTTGCTTTCAATTGTGTAAGTTATAAAAATTTATAAAAGTTAATTAGCCAATGATAATTTTGATAGTTATGAAATTGTTGAAGTTATAAGTATTTAAATTAAAAGTATGAATATTTTTAGGTAATGGTAACATAACTATTAATGGCCATTTGGATGAAAATGAGGAAGAAGCTTGGCAGTTGATAGGCCCTAAAAATAAAAGCATGGTTACAAGAACAGTAAGTGAAGTTATTTTTAATTTTCTTTACTCTTTAAAGTAAACACTTCAATTTTTTTTTATAACTGCCATTTCTTGTTGATATGCAAACCTCTGGAACTGAAAGGGAACCAGAATCCAAATTTTTGAATTAAACTTTATTTTTTGTTGTTGTATAAAATTTCCATGCAAATGTTTTTTTTGATTGTTTAGTGTAAATTTGTAAGAAAAAAAATACATTTGATATCTATTTAAAATAATCAGCCTTTCTTCAAAATATAAAAAAAAATTATGTCTTAAGTAATTTTTTGTACACATTAACATATTTGAAATTTCCTTTGTAATATTACTCTATGGGAATATTTTCCAACAGAGATCTATGTCAAGATCTTTAAAAGGGTGAGGTTTTAAAAAACATTATTTTTCATAATTGAAATTTATTTATTTTTACAATATAGATTATAAACTTTTTTATTATATTTATTTAATTTTTTTCAAATGGGGTAAACTCTCAAAATTTCCCATGTGATAGACATCCTCAGGTATTGACGATATTGAACTAACGGTTAGTCGAATAGAATGTTTTTGAAAGTTCCGTTTAACGACGTAATTCGAATATGGTGCGATAAAATTAAAATATGTAAAATATTTAAAACATATCCGAATAAATAATCAATTGATTTCATGTAGATCATGACATAAATATCCTCCGTAATTTAAAATATCTTCAATGCACGTTTTAATCATTGGGATTTAATTCAAACATGGGGCGCCACGCTACGGAAAGCATATTGGTTTCTTTGAAATTAATATCGACCCCTTTTTTAATTGCCTTATATTCAAAGAAACTGATACGCTTTCCATAGCATGGCGCCCCATGTTTGAATTAAATCCCAATGATTAAAACGTGCATTGAAGATATTTTAAATTACGGAGGATATTTATGTCATGATCTATATGAAATTAATTGATTATTTATTCGGATATGTTTTAGATATTTTACATATTTTAATTTTAACGCATTATATTCGAATTACGTTTTTAAACGGAACTTTCGAAAACATTCTATTCGACTAGCCGTTAGTTTGATATCGTCAATACTTGAGGATGTCTATTACATATAGACGAAAACGTTCATAGAAAGAATTTCCCATGTGAATGACCTTGCCCAACAATAAATACAAATTGTCTTGACAGCAACTTCTACTTCAAGTTATGAAGTTGCTGTTATGAAAATTTTCTTTACGGATATGGATCAAGTTAAATGTTTTTTTAAAATTTTTCCATTCCATAAGCATTAAAAGGATATTAAATAAATTAATCTGTTTGCTTTGATTATGCACTAAAGTTAATTTTTACATTTATGTATTAAGCTAACTAATAATTAGTTTTGGGTTTGTAACCTTAATGAAGATTATTAATTGAACAGTGGTGTTATTACTCCCTTATATTGTTTTTAATAATTTTAATTTATTATATGTGGCAAAAAGTTAAAAGCATTAACCATAGTGTAAATGGTTAATTCATCACTTCTGAAAATCATTGATATTATTTGTAATTAAAATTTTTTCTCAAATGTGATTTGTCCTTCATTAAGTTTAACAGATTCTCTCTACATTTAAGAGAGAGATATTTTAAGAATTTCACAGATTTATTTATAAAATACGAAAGTATTGGCAGTTGTTTTTAATGTATATATATACAATACAACAAAAACGAATATTTAGAGAAACACAGATGTTGAAGATATAAGCATATAAAGAAGACAAAACACTTAACATGAAATAGAACTGATTGGCTGTTTACATAAAACTAATTTTAATTATTTTTAAAATTCAAATAGGTTTTTCATGTTATACAAATTCATAAATTTGTAATTTATTACTTAAATAAATAGCCAGTTCACAAAATTAATAACATTTTAATTTTGAATTCACTAAGAATTACAAATGTATAGAATAAATGATAACTTGTTAAAGTTTTCTTTTCACTTTACTTTTCTGCTTATTGGAGTCTAAAATAAATAGATTATATATATATATAATCTATATATTTTAAACTTGAAACAGATTTTTCTCTTGTAAAAAATGGAGCCTGCAAGTGATGTAGAAATGAATGATGATTTTAGCCATTAGCAAAGTTCTGTGTGAAGTTGAGTTCACAGCCAATTTGCAAGCTGTTCACACAAACATCATTCAAAATCTCATTGATTATTATAAAGTATACGTTTTTCTATTATAAATTACACAAAGATTTTGAAATAATGAATTATAAAACATAAGGAATTTATGTAATGCCTCTGTTGGATGGCATAAAAATCTCTGACTTTATATCTGTTAATGCACTTTTGACAGTGTGAAGATCTTTGTTGATGATAGTGCCTAAAATTAAGCAAACAACATAGAGGGAACATTTTCCTGTTATCTATTGTATAATTGTGCAGAGCAGTAAACTATAACAAGGATTGAGCAGAAACATAAATATTAAAGTGACAGTAATGGAAACCATGCTAGGAAGATATAGTTATTATGTTTGAGTGTCGATATTAACTATAATATTATGGCAGTTTTATCATATATATATATATAACCCATTGAACAGGTATCCGTCTGCGTAATGGTATGCCAAAAATGGGCACTAGAGGCGCCCTAGTGAAGATTTTAAATTAACAATAAATTATTTTTATTTGTAATAGGAATTTATTATTGGTATAAATAATTATTATATGCCTTGATTAACCTTGCGTCGCACGTTTACATCCCGTGACTTAGTGAACGCTGCATGTTGACTCGGGGAAATTTGTTGAAAAAATGACAGATACATTTAAAATTGAGGTTTACAAGCAAATATAAATAAACAAATTAAACTATTTTAAAGTATTTATAGAATGTTTAATAGGTAGAAATATGGATCTGTATGACGCGATTGGGACGATAAGATTTACCCTCTGAATGAAGGGGTGGCAACCTCCCCCTCTGTGCAAACAATAAATGTCTAATGAACCATACCCCTATGCGCGGTCCTTCCCGAGATATAGCTCTCCGAAAATTATTCTGTGGGTCACGCAATTGCCTGTTTGCCACAACTTACCCTGCAAACGAGCGGGTCGGTGACCCCAAGTGTGCATGTGCGCGCGTAAATTTTTTTTGCGCGGTAGGCTCCCTTTTGACCACGGTGTCATGTGACCAGAAATGATGTAGACGAATTTTCAGGGGCTTATATCTTGCAAAGGGTTGCGCATACAGGTATGGTTCCTTTGACTTTATTGTTTGCACAGGGGGGCTACAGTTTGAGGGGTCGCCACCCCTTCATTTGGAGGGTAAATTTTACCATTGGGACTTTAACAGAGCTGTAGAGCATATTGATAGGAACAAAAAAGTCAAAGAAACCATGCCTCATGGAAATTTGTAAAGAACGCTTACTAGGGGGCATCCCAGGCTACTAGTACTTAATAAATAACTACTATTGTACACCTATGTGTTATTTATTGTAAATTTTAATTGTAAAATTGCCATATGCACTGTCCTTAGTATATAAATGATATATTTATATTTTTAAAAATTAATTGAAAAGCAAGCAAATTTATAAAATAAATGAAATTACTAAAAAAATTAAAATAAATTAAATTGGATTATCTTTTCTGTAAAAAACTCAAAACAATTTCTATACTTATGTTGCAAGAGAAAAGACTTGCAATTTTGGTATATATAGTAGCATCAAGGGATTAATTAATCATGTTAATCAAGAGATACCTGTACTTTTTTTGTTTTTTAATATTGAAAGTTTCAGTGTTTTTCTTACATATACACAAACTTATATGTGTAATCATCTTTTTTTCTAAAATCAGAAAATTTGATAATTTAACATCCACTTTCAACAGATTCCCTAAGATTGCTATAAAGCAAGTTCGTAAGTCTATTAGATGAAGAAATATATTTCCATTAAAAAAATAAATCCTGCTGAAATTACAAGTGTGGTGAATATTTTCTTCAGATAATGTGATAAAAATATCACTTTGGTTTTTTTTGAATTACTGAATTAGTAGTCAACTTTTTCTTCTGTGCAAATATTAATATAAGGGGTTATTACAAATGAATCATTGGGTTTTAGAATCCTGTAACTCCAAAATATCAAACCGGGTCATCTATGCTAAACATGAAATGAAAGAGAAACTTTCCAAATTTGAAGCACATGTAAAGATTTCCTTGCAACATACCAGATGGCATCATCATTTCCATTGCCAAAATAGCAGCTAAGTAACAGAAGGCATTTTTAATTTGTTTTCCAGTGGGATTGGGATATACTTCATTTAGTATTGATGCATTTCATGAAGTGCGTCAATACCTGAATGCAGAATTCCCATACTGCTGGATTGGGAATTGCAGTAAGAATGACTTGGTGCTGTACAGATGCCTCCCAAATCTCAGGACCTCACACCATGTGATTTTTTCCCTTCCTGTCAGGGTTTGTAAAAGACATGATTTGTGTGTCATTACCTACAACTTTAGCAGACTCTGGGACCTCATTACCACTACAATTATGACCATCCAGGAAAATATGCTACAATGGGGCAAACTAGGCTATCGCTTGGACATGTGTTACATTACCAAAGGACATTTGTAGTCTTATAACACAAACTAAACTTGGGCAGTTTCTAGTTTTTTTAATGTGTCACTTATTGTTATATCTGAATTCTTATCAGAAATATAGTTGCTTGAAATTTAATAATTTATCTGTAATAACCCTGTATTATTTTATATATATAGACTCGAAAATAATGAGTTGGTAACTAACTTGCAAATGGTACTAGTCAGTACCATTTGCAAGTTAGTTACCAACTCATTCTTTTGGTGGCCATGGTTTTTTTCAGTATAATCACTTTTGGCAAAAATGCACTTGTCACATCTTCTCTGCCACTCTTAGAACACCTATGAGAAACCCTTTTTTTAAAAGTACCTTCAAAATTGCCTCCAGTTTTTTGGTAATAGCCATTTCTGATGGAATGGACTAATCTTGTAATGATTTTTTTTTTAACAATGGAAAAGAGAAAAGTTACAAAGGGCCAAGTCTGTGCTACAGGGAGAATGTAGCAAGCAGGAAATGTTTTTGATTAAATGTTCTATTACAAATTGAACACATGAAATTTGGCATTATTATGGTGCTGTGTTCATCCTCTTGCAGGCAGAATAGGCCTTTTTCCTTTATATGCTCTGTAAATATTGCAGAACAGTGACATAATATGCATTTGTGGCAGTTGTATGGGGTGGTATGGTATAGAAGAGTAACTCATAATCTGACTTCGAGTTACATCTAAACTGGAGTTTGTCAACTCTGTTTAATTCGCGTTGGTGAATACGGTTGTAAGTCAGAGAGCCATATATCTTCTAATTGCACATAACTTCTGCCTTTTACTTCTTTGTAAATATTTTGATATAACTTAAGAGTTCGTTGAAACGGCTCAAAACATTGCGAGTAGAGAGCCATCTTATAATGCATCATAGGGATAAATCATTGGGCAACTCTTCTGCTTTGTCATTCAATTGCAACTCTTCTAAAAAGTTCTTAAATTGACGATGTGTTTTTGAATTTGTTCTAATCAAATTCACAATCTGCAAAACAATCTCCCAAACATTTTCATATTTGAAGTATTTCGCTACGAGATACTTGCAGTGAATTATGCAGTGAAGAGGTAAGAAATGTAGTATGTCAAGATCTTTGTTCAGTAAACCAACAAGACCTTGATGTTGACCTATCATTGCAGGCACACCGTCAGTTGCAACACTTACAAGTTTATTGCAAGATAATTCAAATTTGTTTATTATACCATCAAGCATGTATTTAATATCGATTCCATGAGTTGTTTCAGTAAGAGGCACTAAGTCTAACATTTCTTCCTTCACAATTACATCTTCAGATACTTAGCAGACAAAAACTGCCAATTGTGGAATATCTTGAATATCTGTAGACTCTTCAAGAGCTAAACTAAACACTGTACAATCTTTTAAGTCACATGTCAAACTATTTTCAACATTTTTACTAATTGTACCAATATGGCACTCGGTTGTACAGCATGATATTGTGATCTGCACTTCTTCGAAATTTTTTTTAATAAATTCGCCCTCTCCATATGACATATAGCACGAGCAATGTTCCAAGCCAACAAAAAACTAGCTTTGTTTACTCTGTCATCTTTGCGACTAAAAGAAGTTATGAGTCCTTGTTGTTTTTAAAGATTAATTTGCAATAACTTCTCAGATCGCATTTTTGAATTAAGTGGATATTTAGCAGTAAAGTCTGAATGACTTATTCCATAATGTCGAATTAAGTTGCTAACTTTATAATTAGAAATTGGAACTTTACAAATAAGCCACAGTGACTGTCTGTTACTGTCAATAAAAGCAAAATTTTCGATCCATTCTTCTTGAAAAATTCTATTTTCTTGTTCATATTTTCATTTTTTATTGTCTTTTGAAGTCATGCTCAGGGTATTAAAATTAAATAATTTTAAACAAATTACCTGAAATTAAAACAAACTAATCAAAATTTGAAATTAATTTACGGCACGACAACTTTCAGCAAGTTTAATAATCAAATTCTGTTTTATCATCATGCATAAAGGTATGATAGAAATATGACACAAAAGATGTAAACCTTTATTAATTAATTAATGCCTTTTTATGTTTCGATATCTATAAATTGCATAATAAAATAGACTACTTACCAGATAACTGTTACTGACAATGAGAAACACCAGAACAAATACAACTACAACGAAAGGTTACACATACACATATCTGTCAACTGTGCCAACACCAATACATAACATACTGTACAGTACATGAGGGTTGTAGTAATACACAATGACAAAAGATGGCATCAGCAGTCAAAATCTAAATGTGTGCACATTTTGTTATATAATATAAATATAATGTAAAACAAATATTGAATTTTTTTAATAAACATATTTTCACAAAATTGTGGAAATGAAATTGTAAAAATAATAATAAAAACAGAACACTTCAGAAATTAACACTTTCAGCAAGAGCTGCATTTGCCCATGTATTGTATGTTAACCTTATGTACAGGGCAATCACAGAATATGTGTTCAGAGCAGTGTTGTGGAGTTGGATATTTTTGGGCAGAGTCGGTAAAATTCTTTCGACTCTGACAACTCCAACCTTGAATTGTACTATTGGTTAAATTTGAATACTTTTTGATTAATCAGTATCTAAAGAAATTTCTTGGAAAATGGATGCTTCAATGAATTTAGATATTGAAATGATATTAAACCATGAAGGCTATTTCATAACAAAATGTTCTGTATGTCTCATGCTACATAGCTCTATACTTTCAGAAAATTTTTTTTATTAATTAAGAACCACCAGTGGCCTAGTAGATTAATCCACTGAACACTTGTAGTTAGTTGTGGGATTGCACCTGGAAAGTAAGCACTTATGGAGTTGCTTCAGAGCATTAAGCTTATCTTTAGTAAAGAGAAACTTCCAAGAAAAAATTGGACTTTCGTTTCAAGTGTCATAATTTTTATTCAGTGCAAGATACCTCTCTACATCTCAGATGTTTTTCTTTGGATGTCATTTTTTTTTTTTTTTGGTCCTATTGGTTTTGAGTTATTTATGACTATTTATGATGGCATTGATAACATAATTTGGTCTTAAAACAGTTAATAGAAAAACAATGAAAAAAAGTGAAACTAAGATCACAATCTAACTTCAGTAAACTAAAAGAGGAAGAGAAAACTGCAAAATGTAATTAAGGATTGTTTCAGCTTATTATTTACCAGTTTAAGTTTAGTCAACCATTAGCAGGAAATTAACTATTCCCATTGTAGCCAGATCGACAAACTATTTTACAGACCAATTTATTATATCGTTCATCACATTGTTAAATCAATTTTTCATAATTAGCTAATAAAAGAGTCTATTAAGATGTAGTGTGTTTCTTTATGTACTTGAAAGTTTATCAAGTAAATTTATTATACCCATTTTTTGATTCTCACCATCAATTTTAGTATGACTTTTTTATTCAGAATTTTTAGATAAAAATAATCAGATACAGTGGTATCTTTATTATAAAAGAAATCGCAATGTGACATTTTAAAAGGGTAAGGTCCAGAGTCAGACTTTTGTTTACCAACTCCACTGCACTGGTTCAGAGCTCTGTAGAAAGAACTATATGTAAAATCTCAACCAAATCTGGTGTCCTGAATATATGATTTCAATTTTCAGGAAAAATTTTACTTTAAAATTCAGCTCTCGGGCAAACTTTGGTGCTGATTTTTCTTTAAAGTTTATATTACATACATTTTCTAATGAATTTCAAGTATGAAAGGAATTGCAAAACATTCTTTACAATTCTTTGATAGATTAACTGTCCCACCATGGTTGTTCCTGTTTTGTGCCACTCTTTTTTTTTTTTCTTTTTTAATTCTGTATTCAGTCAGTGACGTGTTCTATTATTGCTCCTAGATACAGATATATGCTCCAACTTTTATCATTCCAGCACTTCAACAGAAAAATTGTGGTGTTCAGACAATTTCTCTGCTGAAATGCTGAATGTATATCTCCATATATCAGCTTAAATGTACAAGCCTTACTACTACAATATTTTTAGCATGGGAGAGTGATTAGCTGATTATTTCAAATGTCATGGCTGCCACAATCACTAGATCTGAATCTGTAACATTTAGTTATGTGGCTACTTAATAGCATCCTTTATCAAGGCAATATTCTCAACTTGGATGACTTAAATTATTCATTACAATGTACATTAAGGGAAAGCAGACCAAATTTTGCTCCAATGGCAGAATTTTAAATTTTTTTTTCTCAAAAATTGAAACTGCATACTAAGGACAGAATGCATACTAAATTTTGTTAAGATTTGAACATTCTGTATTTGTAGAACTAAAAATAAACCATTAAGGCTACATTTTCATGCTTAGAAGTATTTAAATAAAACATAATATGAGTTTTAATCTGAATTTTAATTTAAATGTTTACAGGCTAGTATTTCTCAGTCTCCAATATCAGATATATTTGGTGGGAAAATAAGATCCATTTTAACAGCTGGAAATGAACATTCTGCATTTATTCAACCATTCTTTACATTACAATTGGATATTCAGGTAAGTTATCTTTATATTTTTACCAAATTTATTTTTATCTGTCGTAGAGATATACTCAAGCATATTCAGTTTATCAGAAATTCAAGGAATTCTCTGCCATATTGAACTTCTCATGTTTTCTAGTTTACAAACTTAGGATGTAATTTTTTTTCATTTAAATTCCTATTTATTTATAATATGCTTTTTTTTTTAATATGGATTCACATGTTATGATGGTGTAATGCTTGTGTTAGGCTCAAAGACTGAAAACACTCATTGAGTGAAAATTACCACAATACATTGTGGCTGGATCTGAAAAGTTGGAGCACACATTGCAGTGAATTTTTTTTCCACTGGATGAACATTTTAGAATAAATCATCAAATGATCCCCTAAATATTGGGCTATAATATGGCTAATTAAATGATTGGTATAAAGTAATTTGTCATTAGAGGTAGACGTTAGGCACCATCTCTTAAGTAAATTAATAATTATACAGTAGAGCATCAATTATCCAAATCAGTTGGGGACTGGGGTTGTTCAGAAAATCGATATTTCGGATAACTGATTATGTACGAAAAAATATATTAACCTATTGCATGTTGAATGTTTTCTCCATTGCATGTCGCTTTGCGTTGAATTTTTGTCGATGTTAAGCCTAATGAAGACTATTGTATCGTTAAAAATNTAATTTATTTAATTATAATTATTAATTTACTTAAGAAATGGTGCCTAATGTCTACCTGTAATGAGAAATTACTTTATACCAATCATTTAATTAGCCATATTATAGCCCAATATTTAGGGGATCGTTTGATGATTTATTGTATACTACTTGGCTTTAAGATGTTGTTATATGAACATTTTAGGTCCTTAAGCCTGATAATTTAAATATTTTAGTAGCAGCAACAATTTATTATTATTATTTTTATGACCTTGAATCAAAATGACCATTTACAGGTATTCCTTGTACAACATGGTACTTCTACAACACTGTTTCACTCGAACATGGTTTTGGAAATACTTTGTACAAAATTTCACAATTTTCAGTGTAAACTTTGTTATTCAACTGATAGTGCAATTTTTTTCCTTTCTTGCACTAACTTTTTTATTAGCCAGATGTCATTGTCATTGCTTTCAGACTTTAGCCCTTAAGACTGTCGCTGTGTTTTATTTTTATAGATTAATCTTCATATTTAGTAAAGTTTATTTAAACTTTTTTAAACCTTAGGTATTGCTTACCTGTGAATGATTACTTCATTCATAAAAATGACAAATGAAATACAGTGTTATCTTGATATTCAAACACAAATTCTGGGAGAAAGTTACTCTGACGTGTTCTATTATTGCTCCTAGATACAGATATATGCTCCAACTTTTATCATTCCAGCACTTCAACAGAAAAATTGTGGTGTTCAGACAATTTCTCTGCTGAAATGCTGAATGTATATCTCCATATATCAGCTTAAATGTACAAGCCTTACTACTACAATATTTTTAGCATGGGAGAGTGATTAGCTGATTATTTCAAATGTCATGGCTGCCACAATCACTAGATCTGAATCTGTAACATTTAGTTATGTGGCTACTTAATAGCATCCTTTATCAAGGCAATATTCTCAACTTGGATGACTTAAATTATTCATTACAATGTACATTAAGGGAAAGCAGACCAAATTTTGCTCCAATGGCAGAATTTTAAATTTTTTTTTCTCAAAAATTGAAACTGCATACTAAGGACAGAATGCATACTAAATTTTGTTAAGATTTGAACATTCTGTATTTGTAGAACTAAAAATAAACCATTAAGGCTACATTTTCATGCTTAGAAGTATTTAAATAAAACATAATATGAGTTTTAATCTGAATTTTAATTTAAATGTTTACAGGCTAGTATTTCTCAGTCTCCAATATCAGATATATTTGGTGGGAAAATAAGATCCATTTTAACAGCTGGAAATGAACATTCTGCATTTATTCAACCATTCTTTACATTACAATTGGATATTCAGGTAAGTTATCTTTATATTTTTACCAAATTTATTTTTATCTGTCGTAGAGATATACTCAAGCATATTCAGTTTATCAGAAATTCAAGGAATTCTCTGCCATATTGAACTTCTCATGTTTTCTAGTTTACAAACTTAGGATGTAATTTTTTTTCATTTAAATTCCTATTTATTTATAATATGCTTTTTTTTTTAATATGGATTCACATGTTATGATGGTGTAATGCTTGTGTTAGGCTCAAAGACTGAAAACACTCATTGAGTGAAAATTACCACAATACATTGTGGCTGGATCTGAAAAGTTGGAGCACACATTGCAGTGAATTTTTTTTCCACTGGATGAACATTTTAGAATAAATCATCAAATGATCCCCTAAATATTGGGCTATAATATGGCTAATTAAATGATTGGTATAAAGTAATTTGTCATTAGAGGTAGACGTTAGGCACCATCTCTTAAGTAAATTAATAATTATACAGTAGAGCATCAATTATCCAAATCAGTTGGGGACTGGGGTTGTTCAGAAAATCGATATTTCGGATAACTGATTATGTACGAAAAAATATATTAACCTATTGCATGTTGAATGTTTTCTCCATTGCATGTCGCTTTGCGNTTAGGAAAAGGTATTTATTTTACATATGATTTTCAGTAAATGTGTTTTATTTTTAATATTAAAAATAAATTTATTTCTTATATTTATTTGAATTATTAATGAAATATCAATAGTTTAAAATAAATTTAAAATGCATCAGTTATAAATGATACTCTGTTAATATTTTTAAATTTTAAAAGAATGTAATAGATATATGAGGAAAGGTAAAAAAAAATTTTTTAATTTTAAAATATTGTAAAAATTTAACTCATTAATTATATTTACCATCTGTGGAAATCAAAGTGAGAAGTTACTTGGTAAGTGTTTGCTTGGCTAAAATAAAGCTGTAGCTAATTAATTAACTCTAAATGTCTATCATATATGATCATAGAATTACAGAATCAACTATAGTAATTATCATATTATAAATTGAAACTTATCATAATATGGGTTATATTTATGAGAGAGAGAGAATTTTTCAAATTTTGTTCTGGGCTTGTACAGTACTTGTATTATACAGTGAATGGATAGATATGATTATTAAAGGAAAGATATTTATTGAATAAAATTTATTTTGATATTAGTATGTTCTCTAGTAAAGTAATTTTACAATAATTTTTTAAATTGCTGTCTAACATGGCTATAAAGTCAAAAGCTTGTTAAGTATGGAAATTTACAGTCAAAATATTCATACAATAAATATGTTAGTGAATAAATTTATGCATATATAAAATTTAATTTTCAGTCAACACTAATTCTTATAATTGATTTTATGGACTAATGATTCACTGATATCTCAAAATATAAAAACAGAATTTGTAAATCATGCACTGATTTGGTTGAAATTTGTAATGAGTTTCTAATTTAATATATTCTTATTTTCTGATAGCCATAAGCTTACAATTTTAATTATTTATTTTCAATTTGAATATCTGTTAATTTTTAGCATATTATTGTTTCTGGAGTGTGTTGTTTACTATTTGAACGTATATTTTGAGATTAATAATAAACTTGATTGAGTTCTTTATTATTATTAGTTTTAATTATTATTGTAGCTGTTAAAAAACTAATATTAATAGATTAAGAAAAAAACTATCAGAAATACATACAGAATAAATCATATACTAAGATTAAATAAATAATAATTTAATTCGATTTTTACATTTTGCATTTTTACTTATTAAAATAATTTTGTCTTATATTTTAAATATGTGTAATTAACTAATGGCATCACAATTTATATTAAGCAATATTATCTTAATATCCCTTTGAACAAAAAGAATAGGGAATGGTTCAATAAAATGCAAGATTTGAATTTATTCATCAAAATTTATTTTGTTCCCTTCAAAGTAATCCCATCCTACTGCAATGTGCTTATACCAATGTTTTTTTCTAATCCTTGAAACATACTTTAAAGTCATTTTCATGAAAATCCTTCAGGACTTCTGGCAAATTTTGTTTTATGGAATCAATCGACTCAAAAATGTGATCGTGAAGTGGAAGTTTTAGTCAAAGAAATGGGGAAAAGTCTATTTCAGGGAAAAATTTTGAATTGAAATAATGTGACTTCCAGTTTGCATTGGAAGTTCCTGTATAGTTAATCGGGACCTTTTGCCCCTAAGCTTTCTGTATCTGGTCTTGACTTTCATGTGTTTGTGTTCTCAAGATTCAGGTAGGACAGGTGGACAGTAGACAACAGTGGGAATTTATAGATCTACAATTTTTTCAAATTGTAATCCAATTAATGATAGTTAATTTTTTTTACATATTAAACAAATTTAAAGAAATTGGCCTTTGAGCCATTGCAATTTCTACAACAAACTTGGATATTATGTATCACTGATGATATTAATGAATAGTTTTATAGAAGCATACAGTATACAGATTTTTAATAAAACTTAAACCTGTTAGAATGTATAATAAATGAAGCATGCAATGCCGTAAAATTTTACAATAAAATGGTAAAAAAAATACTTGCAAATTATCTGGAATATAAAAATGATGTAAATATAAGCCATAATATTAAGTGCCAAAAGTCACATGACTTGCACTTGGACACTTTAAACATTATGGCTTTGCCTAAATTCAACTTAAAATACTGCCACTTACAGCACCTCTATTGCCACAATAGTTTCTTTCAGCAGAAGATATTACATTTAGAATTCAGCTTTCCATAAAACAAATTTAGAGAAAAATGGCGATTACAATGTTATGGTATTGCACACTTCAAATATTAATTAACCACTTCCATTGTTAATACTTCCCCCTACGGGGGAATTTCAAAAAATCCCTTCTTAGTGTATGCTCTCATGACATACCCTAACTTTGTACCAAATTTCAACCTTCAACTCCTAACTGTTTGGGCTATGTGCTTCTTATTATTATTCGGAGTAGCTATTTCAAAGGGCAATTTTGGC